CTAGCTTCCAGAGATATGCGACATTAATAAATCGGTGGCAGTGAGTAAATGGGGTCACGGGGGGTCACCAAGGAGAAATCACGAATTGTCGAATGGACAAAAAAATGAGGTCATGGGGTCAAAGAGGAAAACATGACTGAATGAACGACCTTGACACTTAACATGATAATAATTCATCTGTCCCCGTGGTTTAAGGCACCCCACATAATTTTGTAAAATTTGGTCATTTTTTGGGTATAATTTCTGATTATTTTCCTTCATCATTCTTTGTTAAAATTAACAGAATCGCATAATTTCACATTTTTGAGCTCAGTTTGCATAATTTCCAAATTTTTCTTGCATAAAACGACGGGGACAGATAATAATAGTCTCCAAAAACTGAGTAGTTCGAGACATTGATCCTCTTTCATACATAGTATGTATCAGTATATAGCTAGCCGCGTTTGCTAGCGGTTTCTTTTTTACCTGTATAAATACACACTCCCATATATAGTACTTGTACGAGACCAGCGAAGAAGTTATAAAACTATTAAATTCACACACACACACACACACACACACACTTCCCTTTGTGTACGAGATGTATTCTGGAAGTGACGAGACTAGACGAGACGCGGCGGCCGCCTCTGTTTGGCCGACTTGTCATTCGTACGTACGTACGCTTGCTTGCTTGTTCGCTCTTTCGTACTTATGTACACTCGCTCGTTTGTCTTTCCCCCCAACCTGCTAGGCAACAGTTGGACATATATGTGTGTAGTGCACTGAATGAAGTCTGGAGAAATGGTCGCCCGTATTTGTTTGCAGTCTTCATTCAAACTGACGGCGGCGACTGATTTCTTGAATAAAATATAATTTGTTGAAAAATTTTCCCTGCAGTTTGTGTGTGGTTAATGTTCAAGTTTTCATCTTGTATGCCGTAGAAATTGTCAAATGTGGCGACCCATTGTCAAGGAGAGAAGTAAACATCTTTGATAAGTGGACGTCATGGTATACACTAGTTTATTCTTGTTCCAGGCTAGTGGTTTTGATCAGCGGCGACTGTGGTGCGGTATAGTGGTTGAGTGCTTCTCCATCCCTTGTAGTATACATGTATAGTAGACGTGCATTTAGATTCCCTTGTGGAGAGTTTTTCATGAGTACATTTGTACTTCATCTCCATATTATGTCTGCTGAGACGTTGTCTTTTGTATCCC